TGTGGGGTCAACTTAAGGCAAAGGTTTATAAAATTCCAATTGAGACCATTAAGCAACTACGGGAGGAAATTGAAACCGCGTGCATGGAAATAAGGCAAACACCTAGAATTTTCCAAGGAGTTCGCAAATCATTGAAGCGTCGAGCTAGATTATGCATCGAAATGTAAGGTGGTCACTTCGAGCAGTTCTTGTAATTTAACTTATTATTACTAATTTTAATCCCATATATTTCACATTTAGCTATTGTCTGCCGTAGTAATTAGTTCTTTAATTAGTAAGTGTAACTCTAAATTTCAATAGTCTTAGTTTATGTCCTAAATTATTTATTAAATGATCGGATCCTTCATAACTTCAATTTATTTGAAAAAACCCAGTTTTGTTTGAGCCATTTTAAGGGCATATAACTTCCTAAAGGTGCGTTTTAGGGCACATGTTAATAGGCAGTTAAGGAAGGTAGTTGGCAAAAACTGGAGACTTAATCCAAGGGTACTTCACTGGGTGTACACAGCGGTGGTCAGGCCGAGGCTGCAGTATGGGGCCTTAGTCTGGTGGCCGTGTGTGGACCGGGTGACGGTAGCCAGGAAGTTGCAGAGAATCCAAAGATTTGCCTGCTTAGGTATTACAGGGGCAATGAGGACGACCCCAACGGCCGCGTTAGAGGTCCTTCTGGGGCTGCCGACCCTTCCTACATGGTTTGTGAAGGAGGCGATGGCGGCATACCTTAGGATAAGGGACGCAGGCGGTTGGAGAGCGGAAGGACACACTGAGGACCATGCTGCCATGGCCCTCAGGGCGGAGAGGGACATCCCAATATCCGCCATGAGAGTTGCGGAAGCAGAGGACCGGCTTAGGTTAGGACAGAAGGATGTCACCACTTTCTCCTCGAGACAGCAGTGGAAGCAGGATGGTGATATGTTCTCCCTGGGATCTCCTATATGTTCTCCTACTCCTACTCTACTCCTACTCCTACTCCTCCTCCTACTCATCCTCCTACTCCTCCTCCTACTCCTCCTACTCCTCCTCCTACTCCTCCTCCTACTCCTCCTCCTACTCCTCTCCTCCTCCTAATCCTACTCTTACTCCTACTCCTACTGCTACTGCTACTCCTGCTACTGCTACTGCTCCTGCTACTGCTACTCCTGCTACTGCTACTGCTACTCCTGCTCCTGCTGCTCCTGCTCCTGCTGCTGCTGCTGCTGCTGCTGCTGCTGCTGCTACTACTGCTACTACTACTACTCCTACTACTGCTACTACTCCTACTCCTACTACTACTACTACTACTACTACTACTACTACTACTACTACTACTACTACTACTACTACTACTACTACTACTACTCCTACTACTACTACTACTACCACTACCACTACCACTACCACTACCACTACCACTACCACTACCACTACCACTACCACTACCACTACCACTCTTAATGAGGCAATTGATATGATTACAAAATGCTCTCATGACTTGGATAAGAGAGTTAACGAAATTCCAAATACTAAAAGAGAGATTAAGGAAGCTGTCTCTCGTCTCAGGAAAGGGGTGGAGGCAATAAATAGACTTACAGTCAAGGACTGGTCGGAGGCAAATAGATATGTCCATATAGAAGTACCTACATATGATATGGAAACGCAGACGGAAGAGCATAGGTTGCGTGCAAGTGATAAGGTTAGAGAAGTGGCAACACAAACGGAGGACAGAAAGAGTGGAAAACAACAATCATCGCAAAAGGAGGAACTGCACGAGAAGAAACAGAAAGGTGCCAAGATANCATCCCAATAACGTTAAACGAAGATTTACGTAATTTATATTATATTTGCCTACAGTATTCTGTATTACTATCCTACAAATTAATATAAACATGTGATCTGATAGACCGTTAGAGAAGTTCTCTATACACATAACACGGTAACATCACACAGGTTGATCACGCTTGAGCCAAAACAGGTCAGTGTTTAGAAGCATTTAAAAAAATGTAATTTCATATTTCAGTCAAAGCAGCCTGATAAATAAAAATGATGATTGCTATTACAATACAACAACGACAACAGCGACGATAACAACAACAACAACAACAGCAACAGCAATAATAACAACAACAACAACAACAACAACAACAACACTAGCAGCAGCAGGAACAACGACAGTAGTAACATATACAACAACAACAGCGGCAGCAACAATAACAACTAAAGCAGACTTCTTTAATATACAATTACAGTATTTCTTACTAAGTAGTAAGAGATTCCTTACTGTAGTAGTCAAAGCATTCCTTGCCAACTATACTCCGCGGTAGAAATTATAGAGAGTGACTCATCGTTAGCTTTTGGACTAGGGGGATGAAGCATGCCGAGAACGAAAATCCATTGGCGTGTCTGCGTAAAAGGCAACAAGATATAGAAAATATTGAAAAAAGATAATAAAACGTAACATCTAATATTTTTTTACGGTTTGCTATAACCGGCACTTTGATCCATTTTAATTATTACAGCATCTTAAAACGTCCCAGTCGTGTTTTTTTAATTTATAAATTTATTATAGCCATGGAATTACACCCCTCGTCTACGCTTATGCTATGACGTTTCTCAGGACGGGTAAATCAAGTCCGTTTACACCCACTAAAAAAGCATTTCCCTATTCCCTACCAAGTGCAAAAGACAAAGATAAAATATAGATCGACGTTCAGTGTAACTCAGTCTATAGACGATTATAGATTCTATCGATGTGCGTAGCGAGCGGCACAAAGATAAATAATATTGAATCGTATAAAAATCATTTTATACTTTATACGCATTATGGTAATAGTGTTTTTATATTATGTCTGAGTCACTCTCTATAATTTCGACCGCCGAGGTTAGGTAGAACGTTTCGTATCCTCCTCATGTATACTGTCAGCTAAGGAAACCAGTTCAAGTAACAAGATATAAGAGCATTATCAACATCGTTGGCTTAGATTAGATGTCGTTGTTATTGCTGTTATTGATCATGCTGGTGCTGCCGCTGCTGTTGTTGATATAGTCGTTGTTGTTGCCGTAGTAGTGGTAATAGTAGTAGCAGTAGTAATTGTTGTAGTTACCTCTGCCGTTGTCGTTGTTATTGATGCTACTGTTCTACAACAGCAAAAGCAACAACAACAACACCAGCAGCAGCAGAAACAACGACAGTAATAACGTACAACAGCAGCAGAAACAACGACAGTAATAACGTACAACAGCAGCAGCAGTAACAGTAACAGTAACAACTACAACTGACTTCTTTAATCTATAATCAGTAATCAAAGATTCCTTAATGTAGTATTCAAAGCATTCCTTGCCAACTCGGTAGAATGCTTCGTATCCTACTTGTGTATATTGTTGTCTAAGGAAACTAGTACATGTAACAAGATTTTTAGAGCATTACGCTGCAAAGATTAAATGTCGTTGTTATTGCTGTTATTGATCGTGCTGGTGTTGCTTCTGCTGTAGTAGAGATAATAGTAGTAGCAGTACTAGTTGTTGTTGTTACCGCTGCTGTTGTCGTTGTTGTTGATGCTATTGATCTCCAACAGCAACAGCAACAACTACAACAACAACAACAACAACTACAACAACAACAACAACAACAACAACAACAACAACAACAACAACAACAACAACAACAACAACAACAACAACAACAACAACAACAACAACAACAACAACAACAACAACAACAACAACAACAACAACAACAACAACAACAACAACAACAACAACAACAACAACAACAACAACAACAACAACAACAACAACAACAACAACAACAACAACAACAACAACAACAACAACAACAACAACAACAACAACAACAACAACAACAACAACAACAACAACAACAACAACAACAACAACAACAACAACAACAACAACAACAACAACAACAACAACAACAACAACAACAACAACAACAACAACAACAACAACAACAACAACAACAACAACAACAACAACAACAACAACAACAACAACAACAACAACAACAACAACAACAACAACAACAACAACAACAACAACAACAACAACAACAACAACAACAACAACAACAACAACAACAACAACAACAACAACAACAACAACAACAACAACAACAACAACAACAACAACAACAACAACAACAACAACAACAACAACAACAACAACAACAACAACAACAACAACAACAACAACAACAACAACAACAACAACAACAACAACAACAACAACAACAACAACAACAACAACAACAACAACAACAACAACAACAACAACAACAACAACAACAACAACAACAACAACAACAACAACAACAACAACAACAACAACAACAACAACAACAACAACAACAACAACAACAACAACAACAACAACAACAACAACAACAACAACAACAACAACAACAACAACAACAACAACAACAACAACAACAACAACAACAACAACAACAACAACAACAACAACAACAACAACAACAACAACAACAACAACAACAACAACAACAACAACAACAACAACAACAACAACAACAACAACAACAACAACAACAACAACAACAACAACAACAACAACAACAACAACAACAACAACAACAACAACAACAACAACAACAACAACAACAACAACAACAACAACAACAACAACAACAACAACAACAACAACAACAACAACAACAACAACAACAACAACAACAACAACAACAACAACAACAACAACAACAACAACAACAACAACAACAACAACAACAACAACAACAACAACAACAACAACAACAACAACAACAACAACAACAACAACAACAACAACAACAACAACAACAACAACAACAACGACAACGACAACGACAACGACAACGACAACAACAACAACAACAACAACAACAACAACAACAACAACAACAACAACAACAACAACGACAACAACAGCAGCAGAAGGAACAACGACAGATAACACGTACAACAGTAGCAACAGCAACAAGATTTAAGAATGTTATCAACATCGTTGCCTTAGATGTAGTTGTTATTGCTGTTATTGTTTATGTTGGTGCTGCCGCTGCTGTTGTTGATATTGTAGTCGTTGTTGTTGCCGTAGTAGTGGTAGTAGTAGTAGCAGTAGTAGTTGTTGCAGTTGCCGCTGCTGTTGTCGTTGTGATTGATGCTANAAGTTAAATCATCTACTGACTGTACTACATTACAAGATAATCTTGACAGATTACACAATTGGTGTTCATGTAATAATCTACCTCTGAATGTAAGTAAATGTAAATTTATGACTTACAGTCGACGCAAAACTAATTTAGATTTCGATTATAAAATTGCTGAATCTTTTTTAAATAGAGTTACGCAATTTACTGACCTTGGTGTTACTTTCGATATCAGATTATCGTTTGACGACCACATTAGTTTAGTAACCAAATCTGCTTATAGGAATTTAGGCTTTATTTTGCGTAATCCTATGGACTTTCAGAACGTAAAGGTCCTAAATATACTGAATGCAGCATTTGTGCGTTGCAAACTTGAATACCTATGCATCTGTTGTTTGGAGTCCCATTTATAATATCTATAATATTCATTCAGAGAAAGTACAACGGAGATTTTTAACGACTATTCATTTTATTAGTTATGGATTTTATTCTCCTCGTGGTACACCTCAAGATTTATTGCTTTCTTGTTTAAATTTTAATAGTCTCTGTCATAGGCGAATTATGTTTTCAATTATATTCCTTTTTAAAATCATAAATAACACGTTAAATGCAGACTCGTTAATCTCAAGGATTTTATATCATGTTCCTAGACTTAATTCTAGATTTCACTCCGTTTTACAATTACCCACACCTCGTACCAACTTACTAATAGCATCTCCCCTATATCATGATTTCCAATTACCAGAAGTATGAAGATCGACTTGATATATTTTTTCATTGTATGAATGACATAAAAAAATTGTTTGTCTAGTANGGCCTAAACCTATTAGATAGGTATATCCATAAAAGATGTCACGTCATTATTAATAAGACGACATGTAGGCAAAATGTTATCTTAAGAATAATACAGTTGTGTCGCCGGCGTAGAAATTAGCATTACAAGATCTTAAACTTAATGGCGTATGTAACCTTGAGGAACACCTATCATGGTTGCTAATATTTAGAATAACTATCTGGTACTTTCAATGATGTACTATTTCATCAATTTAATTGAATTTCTATGAAAACTAAAATACATAATGTAAAATGGATAAAAACAGTCGATGATTTATCCTTTGAAATTTAAAATGCTTTGCTGCAATTCAGTAGGACTAAAAATGTAAGTATATCATTATTAAGTAATATAACAATATCATCAGTGCTTTCTGATAGAATATCTATCATACTGTAGCATTTTCGATACCCCTACTACATTACAAGTAAAATATTATCATTATTTGCCTATATTTGAATTTCCAAAACTTTTGAAATAACAGATAATAAAGAGATCTTTATATCATTATTATTTGCTTGTTTCCAAATAGATGGAACTATATTGTTTTAAAATCAATAATTAACAATATGACATATTACTAGGACAATATCAGGACAGATATTGAAGCATATTTATAGGAATATTGACTACACCTATACTGTTACATTTAATCGACTGTAATGCATCAGACACATCATCAACTTATAAATTAAAATAGATTCCTCATCGAACGTAAAGTGTGTTAAGGCATAATTTATAAAATGGATGTTAACGATCGACGATTTGCTAATTGTTTATACTAATTTTAGTGTATAGGTAATTTAGTTTTTTAAATTATTGTAACGTTTTATCTTTCAACTTAATAATTTGTCGCAATCTTTCAATCACCAAAGGAGTATTACACCAGTATAAGTGCATCAATGTCATCTAGGTCCATTATTAAACACATTATCTTTATCATCAATATTTTATAAATAACAAAGATGCTGAACGGGAAGTTCAGAGAAATCTTTTAACAAATTAGATCAATTAATTTTTAAAATCTCTATAAGTATATGCAAATGGTTCATCGTTAATTCTTTTAGGTTCTATTGATGGTCTGAATTTTGGGGTATTCCAGTAAATTCAGTTAAAATAACATTAAAATTTGTACAACAAATGATGTAGCCAAGTAGTGTAGATGTAGTTTTTGTTGAATAATTTATTTGTAAAAACTCGCGTACATCTAAAGTATTAGATAATGGTTTAACTCCAAACTCCAAAAATATATGCAGAGTGTTCTACAAGTTCTATGACAAATTTTGAGAGAGTAGCTGGGTTAATTTCAAATATTTTTTCTACATAGGTCCGATTCGCTTTTGTTTAGAACTTACAAGTTTTTAAAAAAATATAATTTAAATTTCACATTGGCGAACTAAAGATTCCGTCATTCGACGGATGATATTTTGATAATTTCTTATCTGCTTAGCTACATCCTGAATTCTTTCCAGTAACTGCTGACGGGTAGTGATTTCAACATGGTAGACAAGCTGCTTCATGTCCTCATAAAAAAAGTCCAAAGGATTTAGATCTTGCGATCGCGTTGGCCGTGCCATTGGAACTTGCTGACTAATCGATTTATTAGGAAAATGATCATTTAACCTAGCAGTTACTTGTCTCCGTCTATGTGATGGTGCGCCAATTAAATGAAAAAGGTTGTTTTCCAAGAAAGTTCTATACAGATCTACATTTAAACCATCATTTAAAACATGTACTGGTAGGAGGAGAACGCACCATTTTAAGGATATGTTTAATTTTGATACATCCTGTATATCTTCCCTAATCAGGGATTTTACATTTAATAAATGATAGGCTTGATATATCCATTGAAGATAAGATAGATAATTAGATCATCAGCACTCTGAGTACTCTTTGAACTATTGTCAGATGATATTACTTAAAATTTTTACTATGGAATTGCATCCAATTTTCAGTACTTTACTAGCAGCGAAGAGATAACTAAATATAAAATTTTAATTAGCTACGTCTTGAGATCGAGAAAGAAGTTTAATAAAACTTTCAATTAATGTAAATGCACTTTTAATTAAAATGCAAGTGTTGCCCCTCGGTTGCAGGAAATATATTTAGACGTTTTGCTTGCGTTTCATGGTGAAGCATTAACTTTTACAAGAAATTTAATTACTTCCGCAGTAAGTTTGGAGGGGTTTCTAGCAAAACTATTTCTGAACAAGTTACAAAACGATAGTCAAATTTTGCCCGAGGTAATGAGGTATTCAGTAGGGATCATTATTCAGACTGAGTCTTCCAAACAATAAAACCTTAAATATCATTAGTTTATTTTGCCTGATTGAAGTTTTATGGATTTTTTTTGGACGTTTTTGATGTCTTTCAAATACTACCACCTTATTTATTGTTACTAAAATTGTCGTAGTTTTCGCAGTATACAGGGTGTCCGGAAAGGTCATGTCAAAAATGAAGGGGTATACAGGGGAGGTCAAAATAGATGTAGTACTTCATAAAAAAAAATCCTATCGGGCTTCATTGTGGAGTTATTCGCCTTCAAAGAAAGAAGTTTGAAAAACAAGTTCCAATCATAACTTCTAAGTCGTTACCATGACAACAATGAAAATTGTGCAATTAAAGTAACTCACGGCAATGTTCACTTCGAAGTTTTAACTGATAATTAGTATGGCTGGATTGTACAGAAGCAGACGAAATTATCCATTTAAATTTGTACATCTTTGACAGCTCATGAGTTTAAACTTGGAAATGAACATTACCATGAGTTAATTTAATTGCCCAAATTTCATTGTTGTAACGCTTTGAAGTTATAATTGGAATTTGTTTTTCAATCTTCTTTGAAGGTGAAGCCCGATAGGAATCTATTTTTACGATTTACTAAAACTATTTTGACCTCCCCTGCATATTCCTTCATTTTTTACATGTCCTCAAAAACAACAACAACAACAACAACAACAACAACAAAAACAACAACAACAACAACAACAACAACAACAACAACAACAACAACAACAACAACAACAACAACAACAACAACAACAACAACAACAACAACAACA